CATTTATGCGAACAGACTGAAAGCTGGTATCATACAAATCACCTCAGATACACAGTCTGGTTTTATAAAAGGACGGTCAATTCACAGCAATATACGACTTGTGCTTGACTTACTGGAACACAATAACTTAATTGAAGATGAAGGTTTCATTTTATTTTTATAGATATTTTTTTAAAAGCGTTCGACATAGTTGAGCACAAATTTATCTTTCGTACCCTAGAGCTATTTGGTTTTCGAGAAAACTTCATTAACATGGTTAAACTACTTTACAAGGACACCAATAGTTCAATCCTGTTACCACACAGTACATGCCCAAGATTGTTGATCAACAAAGGAATCAAACAAGGTTGTCCCATTTCCCCCTTCTATTCATCTCAGTGCTAGGCAAACAACTGGCAATTAGCCGACTGGCAGACGATACAACAATATTTATGAGAAATAGTGACCAAATTCCCAAAGTCCTCAAAACAGTTGATTTTTTCCCCAAAGCATGTGGATTAAAACTAAACCTTAAAAAATATGAACTGTTACCAATTCATGATTCCCCTCTTGGAATAATTCATAATATCCCTGTCAAATCTACTGTTAAACACCTAGGCATACACATCACTATAGATATTAACACTCTGAACAATTTCAACATTAGGAATACATTAGACAAGTGTTAATCATATTTAAATCTCTGGTCTCAAAGAGACATTTCTATTATTGGACGAGTTTTCCTCACAAAAATGGAATGCCTCTCAAGATTCATTTATCCGGCCTGTTAGTTGTCACTATCCAAAAATGCTATTAAATACATAAACCAGGCTAACTTCAATTATATTTGGAAGAGGAAAACACACTACATTAGGAGAGGAAATTTGATTAAAGGATATGAAGAAGGTGGTCTTAAAGCTATTGATATAGACCGTATTAATGGCACTATTGAAATTAATTGGCTCAGATCCTTTGTGAGAAATGAAAACAGCCTTTGGTTTCACATCCCAAACCACATTTTTAGGAAGTTAGGAGGCATCAACCTCCTCCTTAGATGTGACTTGGAATTAAATAAGCTCCTGATCAAACTATCACTCTTCCATCAACAGGAACTACAGTATTGGAAAATGATTTACAAACACAATTTCCGCTCCCACAACACCCCATATGGAATTGCAGGTGCATGTTACTGAAAAATAAATCCTTATTTTTCCAAATGCACTTACTGAATAATACAGGAAACATTCTGCCCTTTGAGGACTTTTGTTCTAAATGTAAGCTCAATGACAGAGGTCAGTACAACAATGTTATCAAAGCAATCCCTCAATCTGTTATTGTGATGTCATATCATTTATTTCAAAACAATGTAAGCCCGAATCTCCCTTCGCTTTTGGTGAATGGTCATAACATCACTAATATAAAACTACCTAATTTCACAATCTGGCAAACCTTCGTTAAAGAATTATATCCGTTCTCATCAAACAGAAATTCAGTTCTACAATTCTTCTCTTAAAATGAAGCTGAGAGTCTGACATTGAAATTCTTCAAGTTTCCTGTTGCACCTAAAGCTCAGGCCTTTTGGGATGATTTGCATTACTGGTTGTTTCCTAAATGTGTCAATTTCTCTAATCTAACAAAGGAAAATGTTTTGTTTGGTTGACCTGTGAAAGATCCGTCACATAACTTGGCAATCAACTCAAGTATCATTCTTGGAAAGTTTTTTTTAAATAAATAAAAACAGATTTATGAAATCTAAACCAAATTTCTTTGTTTTTCACAAGGAAATGTGTCATTACTTTTCATCACTGAAGTATATGGAGACAGATATAGAGAGTTAGCAGAGGATCTTAACCTTGCAGCTAACCCACAGCTCTAGTATCTTATTCCTTACTGAGTTTATTCTTATTCATTTCTGTGCCTTTTTTGTTATTTTTAACTTTATTTTTTATTACTTTTATTTTAATTTTCTCTTCATCCACACACATCCACCTTATATACCTATTTCTAGGCTTGTCTGTAACCTTGTTCTTTATATACCACACTGTACTATGCCAATTTGTGTTGTAAATTTGCTCATAAAGGAAAAACTAAAAAGCCTATTGATGATGTCACGTCATTGGAGGACATGTTCAAAATGTCATCAACTCTTAAAAAAAAAAGATTTTTATTTCAAGTCTGTAATTTTATAATAAGCAGTTTAACTGAACTTTTTTGTCTGCCTATTTGTCCTATCTGACATTTTTCAACAAACAAAAATAATAATAAAAGTAGCTTTGCAAGCAGCAAGTTACTTTGGCCATTTTCTTGTAGCTTAGCTTGCTACATTTCTCTGGGGGTTGCTTCAGTATGGTGAAACTTCATTTTGATATGGAGTAACTGGTAGCTTAGTTCACCACATTTTCCCAGTAGCTTGCCCAACACTGTTTGTTATCTGCAGGGACAGATGAGCAGACACTCCTTACATCAGCGTCCCACAGTTTCTGCCTGGCAGACTTGATGACAGTGAACACATCACAGTGCAGTATGTGGCCAAGTGTAGTTGCAGCCTCGCGGACCACAGACATATATACAGAGACGCCGCATCGACTGCCTGAGCGCGTCCTCGCCGTACGCCATCTTGGATGGGTCTCGCTTCGCCTCCACAGTGCATTCACTTCTATTGAGGAAGGGTCTGTATGCACAAGTAAAATAGAATAACTCACTGAATTTTCAACTGATTTTCACGCGGTTTGGTTTGTTACAAACGGCACACATGTAGTTATGATACAGGATGCTTTCGTACATTAAAAATGCGGGATTTCATGCTTTAATACTTTCTGCAGATAGCAACAGCATGTTATTTAGGTCACAACACAGTTATTTTATTCACCTCAACCCCAGAGTGGGATGGATATATACATATATATATATATATATATATATAGCCTATAGGCTATAGATAGATATAGATATACACACACATATACAGTACAGGCCAAAAGTTTGGACACACCTTCTCATTCAATGCGTTTTCTTTATTTTCATGACTATTTACATTGTAGATTCTCACTGAAGGCATCAAAACTATGAATGAACACATGTGGAGTTATGTACTTAACAAAAAAAGGTGAAATAACTGAAAACATGTTTTATATTCTAGTTTCTTCAAAATAGCCACCCTTTGCTCTGATTACTGCTTTGCACACTCTTGGCATTCTCTCCATGAGCTTCAAGAGGTAGTCACCTGAAATGGTTTCCACTTCACAGGTGTGCCTTATCAGGGTTAATTAGTGGAATTTCTTGCTTTATCAATGGGGTTGGGACCATCAGTTGTGTTGTGCAGAAGTCAGGTTAATACACAGCCGACAGCCCTATTGGACAACTGTTAAAATTCATATTATGGCAAGAACCAATCAGCTAACTAAAGAAAAACGAGTGGCCATCATTACTTTAAGAAATGAAGGTCAGTCAGTCCGGAAAATTGCAAAAACTTTAAATGTGTCCCCAAGTGGAGTCGCAAAAACCATCAAGCGCTACAACGAAACTGGCACACATGAGGACCGACCCAGGAAAGGAAGACCAAGAGTCACCTCTGCTTCTGAGGATAAGTTCATCCGAGTCACCAGCCTCAGAAATCGCAAGTTAACAGCAGCTCAGATCAGAGACCAGATGAATGCCACACAGAGTTCTAGCAGCAGACCCATCTCTAGAACAACTGTTAAGAGGAGACTGCGCCAATCAGGCCTTCATGGTCAAATAGCTGCTAGGAAACCACTGCTAAGGAGAGGCAACAAGCAGAAGAGATTTGTTTGGGCCAAGAAACACAAGGAATGGACATTAGACCAGTGGAAATCTGTGCTTTGGTCTGATGAGTCCAAATTTGAGATCTTTGGTTCCAACCGCCGTGTCTTTGTGAGACGCAGAAAAGGTGAACGGATGGATTCCACATGCCTGGTTCCCACTGTGAAGCATGGAGGAGGAGGTGTGATGGTGTGGGGGTGTTTTGCTGGTGACACTGTTGGGGATTTATTCAAAATTGAAGGCACACTGAACCAGCATGGCTACCACAGCATCCTGCAGCGACATGCCATCCCATCCGGTTTGCGTTTAGTTGGACGATCATTTATTTTTCAACAGGACAATGACCCCAAACACACCTCCAGGCTGTGTAAGGGCTATTTGACCAAGAAGGAGAGTGATGGAGTGCTGCGGCAGATGACCTGGCCTCCACAGTCACCGGACCTGAACCCAATCGAGATGGTTTGGGGTGAGCTGGACCGCAGAGTGAAGGCAAAGGGGCCAACAAGTGCTAAACACCTCTGGGAACTCCTTCAAGACTGTTGGAAAACCATTTCAGGTGACTACCTCTTGAAGCTCATGGAGAGAATGCCAAGAGTGTGCAAAGCAGTAATCAGAGCAAAGGGTGGCTATTTTGAAGAAACTAGAATATAAAACATGTTTTCAGTTATTTCACCTTTTTTTGTTAAGTACATAACTCCACATGTGTTCATTCATAGTTTTGATGCCTTCAGTGAGAATCTACAATGTAAATAGTCATGAAAATAAAGAAAACGCATTGAATGAGAAGGTGTGTCCAAACTTTTGGCCTGTACTATATATATCCCACTCTGGGGTTGAGGTGAATAAAAGAACTTGTTGTGATCTAAATAACATGCTGTTGCTATCTGCAGAAAGTATTAAAGCATGAAATCCCGCATTTTTAATGTACGAAAGCATCCTGTATCATAACTACATGTGTGCCGTTTGTAACAAACCAAACCGCGTGAAAATCAGTTGAAAATTCAGTGAGTTATTCTATTTTACTTGTGCATACAGACCCTTCCTCAATAGAAGTGAATGCACTGTGGAGGCGAAGCGAGACCCATCCAAGATGGCGTACGGCGAGGACGTCGGCTCTGATGGGTAGCGGCAGTCAATGCGGCGTCTATGTATATATGTCTATGTCGCGGACTACCAACCTACCTACACGACACTCCCACTCATACACTGACCAATCCCAACTCAGCTGAGCTCACTGTGTTCCCAGCGTAACCCTGAGTGTTTGGAAATTCCTTGTCACTAAAGTAGCCTCAAATTACAAGTAGTCAAATTAAACAGCCGTGCGCTTATTAGACGAAAAGGTGCAGCTCCGTTTGGGCGAACATAAGCTGAAGGTAAGCGGCGTCGGTACTCTAACGTTTCCTGCATCGGTCCAGTTATACGAGGCTGACGTAGCATCACAGGAACTCCAGCCTCATTAGCCTAGAGGAGCACTTGCTTTAGGAAACTACAGATAACATTTAGTAATGCTCCAAGCTATTGTTTTGTTCACGAAGATGGCAACTAACAGATTTTAATTCGCTACAAACTTTATTTTGTACTCTTTGAACCCACGGAGTCACGCAGAAAGGTTTACAATAAGACGACAAGAGAACACTAGTCCTGTGTCTTTAAAAAGGCAACACACGGAGCAATACAAGATGGAGGTAGTTACGACTACTTTATATTGTGTTACAATTAATCGAGGTATATCACTGAGTTCAGTGGTTTCCAAAACTGGGAAGAGAAGCGATGTGACCTGATAAATAAGGCAAAAAGGACAGAACGGCAGAATTTGCATTAATTTATGATACTGTTCTCTCATCCGTGCTTTTTGGGAAATATTGTGGGTCAATGTCATTGGTTCGACAGCCCATTAGTCCGACTGTCCGTGGTGCTGAACGACCTTAACCACAGGGCATCTTGATGATTTCGGAACGGACTTCGGAACAATGAGTTTAATATGGTCGGAACAATGGGATGTCGAACCAATGGGCAGTTCCCAATATGGGTAAAGGGTAACTTGAGTAATTTTCAACCAGGAACTGATTGTCCATGTTTTGTGTCTAATGCCCATAATGGAACAACATGTTCTTTTAAAATGGCTCAGTATTAAATGAAACAGCTGTGGAGAAACAGGTTACAATGTAACCATGTGGGACAATTATACACCATAAGTTTACATCCAATAAAAGTTATTGTTTTGCCTCTGACAGGCTCAGATCATTATTCTTTGTGCCTGACAACATCATGGAAAGGACCCTTCAGAGACAGACATTTTGTTAAGGAGTAAGATTTTTTTTGTTGAGCTAGAAACATCCCTGAAACTGCCGTCAGCAAACCCACCAGACCTAATTTAAATAAACAGTAATTTTTGCATGTGTAGAGTATACAGCCTGTGGTGTAGAGCCAGGGTGGAGCATCTGTCATTAACATAACTGTCTTTTAAAGGCTCAGTTTTTAAGCTAACAGCACCAGTGGTGTCACATGAATCTTGAGACTGTAATAAATATGTTGCTACCAAACCTGTGATGCTAGCTGACTTGGAACCGGGCTATTTACTCACTGTTTATTTAAATGGTGTTTCTGGGCTGTTTCTAGTAAAACAAAAAGGGTCTTATTCTTGAAAAAAAAAAAAACGGTCAATCTCTGTAGGTATCTTTCCATAATGTTGCCAGAAACATTCAATAACAATTTGAGCCTGTCACTGCATAACACAAGCACTTTTTGTGGATGTAAATTAAGTGTGACCCTTAATGTAAGTTTCAGCCTGTTTTGCTTCTGCCAGCCTTAAAGGTTGGGAACCACTGGTTTAATATTTAATAATGCACTGTATCTTATAAGCTGACATTTCAGAAGAGATGTCCTCCCAAGTCATACTGAGGCTGCTGCCCAGAGCCAGATGCATGTTTGATGAGCCTGTTCAGGTGACAGTGTCAGGGCTGAGGGCGAGACAGGTGGTCACCATGAGAGCCAGGTCAACTGACGAGAAAGGAGTGGAGTTCAGCTCCTCGGCCACCTACAAGGCTGATGGGAACGGGGAGATCAACCTGGAGAGAGACCCCTCACTCAGTGGGAGCTACGTCGGGGTTGAACCTATGGGTCTGCTGTGGTCGATGAGGGCAGATGTCTTGCACAAAAGGTTTCAAAAAACCAAATCATTAAACCCCCACGTAGTAAAGTTCTCTGTGCATGAGGAGGAGGGGGAGGGCAGGATGCTGGCAGAGGCGACCAATGAGAGGCTTGTGATGGGAGACGGGGTGAGCCGGCGTCCTGTCAAAGAGGGGAATATTCGTGGAGTCCTGTTCACTCCCCCAGGTTGGTCTATGTCTTTGTCGCACTTTACATCTTTCAATTTTAATTGAATTATAACTTAGCCATAGCTAAGTGCATAGTTTGCATGGCCACAGCCTGATAAAGCTTATTCCCTCCAACCCTCTCCAACTATGTTAAACCCCATGTCAGAAATCTTGATATTTGACTCCGCCTTCAAATTTGACAAGCCAGCTTTTTCCAATTCTGCACTATATCCAGATTCAAGTCATTTCTCTCCCTCAAAGACCCAGAGATAAGTCACCTACACTCTCAATTCTCCAGTTTGGACTAGCATTACGCCTCCAACTGGTTCAGAACGCTGCTGTCAGGCTCCTCACAGGTACCCGGAGGAGAGACCATATCACACCTGTTTTAGCCTCTCTCTGCTGGCTGCCTGTAAAGTTCAGGATTGATTTTAAGGTTCTCCTGTTTGTTTACAAAGCCCTTAACAGTCTGGCCCCATCCTACATCTCAGACCTTCTAATCCCCTATTCTACGCCCAGATCCCTCAGGTCAGCTGCCAGAGCACAAATTGATTTACTGATTGATTGGGGAACAACAGCAAAATTCTACCAAAACAGCAGTTAACCAATTCTCACTCAACTCATGCTTTATAATCCAAGTCTTATTTATCCAGTCGTATGCTTTACTATTTAAAACAGAACTGAAAATGGACCTTATGCTCTCTTCAAATCCAGACTCCAATACTAGGGTTATTTGTCAAAATGCATGTGTTTTGAAATTTGAATGCAATAAAAATGTCTCTTTAATGTGTCCTCGTGTGTCTTTTGGTCCAGGAGGAGGTCCGTTCCCTGCTGTGTTGGATCTGTACACTTTTGGTGGAGGTTTGTCAGAGAAAAGGGCCTCTCTGTTGGCCAGCCGTGGATTTGTGGNTGAAGCGTCATGGGAAGCAGAACTTTGAGAGTGTGTGTTACCCTGGAGCAGGACATTACCTCGAGCCGCCTTATGGACCCTACTGCCCCTCCAGTTTTCATGGGGTTGTAGGAAAGCCAGTCCTGTGGGGGGGTGAGCCCAGGTCCCACGCTGCAGCTGAAGTCCAACTGTGGAAGAAGATCCAGGAGTTCTTCACAACTCACCTGAGCTGTGATGCTGCACAGACTAAAGCCAAATTATAGATACAAATGTCATAATATGGAAGACATAAGAGATAAATCACCAGCCAAATAACTGTGAATAATCATATATGAATGCTGTGGAATGAAGCAAATGATTTAATATTTGATTGATGATTGAACATTTCATGTATTTAACAATAATGACCAATCACAGCATGATGCAGAAATGCTACTGTACGCTGAGAACAAATGCAAAGACTTTTGTGTTTCACTCAAAGCGATAACTGACCTTTCAAAGTTTGAGAATAGAAAGAGAAATTGACAAACTCAAATGTGAAAAATTAAAAGTCTAATATGAAAGTGGCAGTTGGAAACAGATCAAGACGAAAAGAAATATTTCACTGACAAAATGACCGTTTGTATATAGTTACTCAGTGCATTACTTGAATTGCAAAAAGAAAACTTTGCTTTTCTGGCACGCCTTCACAGTGAAAGAGGAATTCAATTATTAATGAACTGAAGTAATCAGGGTCTGCAAAGACAACAGCAAAACTATATCAAAACCTACTTTTATACGTTGTATAATCCAAGTCTGGTTTATCTGGTCTTATTATCAGTACTTCCCAAACAGATGTGTTATTGCCAAAATGTTACAATAAGGTTTCCAGAGCTTAAGGCAAGTTAGATTTAAGACCTTTTAAGGATCCTTGGGAACCCTGGCCAATATAAAACACTTCTGCCTATAGGTAGCACTCCCTGAGCGTATCTGGGTACGATCCTACCTTTAAACTGAGTTCAAATGCATGTGCCTGCCCAGGCATTGTCTGTGTGGTAGACGCTTTGTTCTGACATGTTTTTAATCATAATATTTTAGCAAAAAGCATGTGTTTGGGAAGTACTGAGCTCTGTCAGCACTCTTGCCGATGTTTAGTGCTGTTAATGGACTTTATGGACAACTCATACACTCTGAATGTCTGAAAGAACCACTTTAAGATTGTCCGCTCATGGGCCCTTGTATAATTTTGATTAGATTTTTGATGTTTATGGTAAGTAAACAACTGCTGTGTTTAAGTAATTTTCTCATACAACCTATCATGAGAGAGCTACCCTCTTTGCGGTTCAATGGATGCCAACCATTTCAAGTTACAACCACCATGACAGGTTCAATAAACGCGTTTGCCAGACAACCACAGTTATAACTCACCTATTATGCCTTATCATAATCCTCGGTCCTCATAAAGTTGTCATACACTCCCAAAGGTCCAGATGATCTAAAACCAGTTTTATTACATTATTGCATCGAAAGATACCCACAGGCTGCTGATGCATAATTGCACATGTCCATAGTTCTCTTCTTACTGTATGCAAAAAAATCCACTTTGCATATAAATTTGCAGAAAACATCCATATGAAAAAGGTGGCTGAAGTCTGACCTTTTGATTGACACCTCACGTAAGCCAATAGGGGCTTCCATGTTGTCTCAACAGCCAACAATAGCCAATGAGAGCCCGTGTTAACAAGAAGGGCCTTCCTCAGTTCTCAGGTTAGCAGCTGTCTTGCTGACTTATGGGTCTTGTAATCAGTGACACTCCTAACCTCCAGAGGAGTGTTGAACTCATTACTGGCATTATAGACTGTCATAAATGTTCATAAATGATTGACAAGTTGCTCCTTTGTTGTCTTAAGGGAAAAAACCAGCCTCTTATCACTTTTCTAGAAGTGTTTCCCCCCCAGTAAACTTGTAAATTTCTGTCTGTATTTGTTTTTCACTCAAAATAACACAGTGAGTAACCAAGCCTTGTCTTAACCTCATTTTTGGAGAGTGCCTAGACAAAACCTTAAACATGTTAAATGTTTATTGTTTGTGATAATATTGTCTACATTGAATTTGGACTATTCTAGGCTTCATGCTTTGGTCCCATCATGTTTTCCAGCGTATAAGTACCAGTTCTAGTCATCCGCATCATCTTTTTTCAAGAAAATATTAAGGTGAAAATAAAGAAAAATCATCTCAGTGTGTTGAAGCATCTATAACTCACTGACAGAAGCACTCAGTGATTCTGACTTCAGTGTGTTACCTTGTAAATTAGCCCAAGTGGAGAAAATTATAGAAGTAGACATAAGAGATGTAAACACCAAGTATCTAAGAATGTAAAAATATAATATGTGCATTATACTACAGTGTTGACACTAGAATATAAAACATTTGAAAAATAAAATCTGTATAATGTGTGCTGAGTATGTAAATTGTGTAAAATATGTGCCTTATGCTATATTACAATATATGTAACTAGTATGCAAGTTTAGAAACATGAAAACGTGTTTAATGCTACAATGAACAACACGATATACACATGATTAGAAAAGAGAAAAAGAAATAGTGTGTGTGCAATAAATTATACATACATTCATGTATGTAGGTATACAAAAAATGGAACAGGAACAGCTTTCTTGGGTATGCCTTGGATATGTGTTTTAGGTGAATTTTTGTCCTTTAAATCCTCCAAGTGTCCTTTCTCTCACTGGGGAAAATGATAACTGCAATGTTTAACACTGTTTTTTTTTTAGTTTTTGTTATTGGGAGTGCTGTACGTGTTTATGTGCATGTATGAGAGTGTGAGGAATGTGCAGGGGAGGAGATAGAAGTAAATAAGTAAATTATTAACAATAATAATGTTGATAAATAACTAAAATAACCCTTCTTCTAATGCCATGTCTATTTACTGGACTGAAACTGTATGCTTAGCGTGGCAGTGGACATTTAGAGTGCCCGTTATTGACATCAATAAACTGGGTGGCTTTTATCCATTTCATTATTTTAATAACATAATAGTTAAAATTCAGGCTATGCATAACTATGTGAAAGAACAGTGATCTTATGTTTGTGCCATTTGTTATTTTACAAAATCCTGATTGACCTTATAGAGTGTGAAGTTGATGCATTGCAAATTTTGCACGTGCAAACTTTGACACAGTGTTCTAACACAATTTGCCTCTTTTTAAAGACAGCTGTTGTGTCTCTGTGTTGTGATACCAATGCAGGACAAAGCAGGAGTATTATACTCACATTTTTCAGATCAAAAGCACTAGAGTAGATGAATGAGTGGCGTCTTAGTTTAATGAATAAAAGCAAAGAATAAAGCAGTCAAAGAATGCGCCTTCTTTATGAGTCTAAAGAGGCTTAGAGCAGAAGAAGCTGCCGATAATGGAAGTCTTGAAATATAATGTAAAGTGCTCTTAGTTTCTTTGAATGTCACGGTGAATAAAGCAGCTATCTCACATCTCACGAAAACAGGAATGCGGACTGAAGTTTTGACTCAGGGTACAGCTTGTCAGGCTGGGTAACTTTACTTCCCTATGTACACTAAAGTGGTAGCTGCTTGGCTGACTTCAGATGGTCAGATGTTGGGAATAAATGTTATTGACTCAAAGCATCTAGGACTGATGTGTCTTTTTAAAGAATTTGTCATATTTAAATTAAAGCAGAGTAGGAGGAAAATGTTTGTTGTCTTAAAATACAGACTCATGATTGCTGCCATGTATTAGTAAGTGAAGTTTAATGTTTCTTATATTTTGTTGTGAAATATTTTATTAAAGAATAAGTCTCTCACTTTTTGCCTCTTTATCTTTGGCTTGTCCCACACTCTAAACATAGCAAAATAAATTGCCTTAATTGTCACTTAAGGAGCTGTCAGGAACGTGTCATTCATCACGGTGGCCACTAGATGGAAATGTCAGCCTCCATATATAAGCACCATGTGGCGAGCTTTCTGCCTGTTGGGGGAATAAGTTTGAGGAATTAGATAATATTTTTGCTTTATTTTGAGCGCAACATGATAGAAACCTAATTTTTTAAAAGAGAAAAAAGGTTTTCACATTGGACGAGTTTAAATCCTTCACAAGAGTTGTAATAACCTTCAATAACAACAGTTAAAGGCTATCAACATCCATATCAACACAAACTTAGCATTTATTTAAAAGAAATTGCAACAATGGCTTGCAAACCTATACAGGCAATTTTACTGCTTATTATTTGGTGTGTGTTTGCTTTGCTGGGGAAGCAGAAGAAAATGCATGATTCTGCTGGATTTTAGTAAAACCTTCAATTTCTATCCCCTAACTCTGGGATGCACGACTAATATCATCAAATTCATCTTTATAAGTTGCCATGAGGATGTGATGAAGACATATGGAATTTCTGGTTTTACATTTAGCTATATGTTCACATATAGGCTAGGGATTTGACATTGTGTATTTTGAGCCCATGTACACACACACACACACACACACACACACACACACACACATATTGTTGTTGTTCATGGTGTTTTTTTGTTTTGTTTGTTTGTTTTCACAATTCTTGGGTATCTCTACCCAACCTGACTGCCAAAGATAGAAAAAAAAATTGGTACTGCTATGCGTGGCATGCGTTGATCTCATAGTCTACGGCATCAGACCATACGCCAACAGGGATGCTTTTGACTTATGACTATATGCCTGTTTTGAGCTTTATTTATTTATCACAATGTGAATGTGGTTGAGCCATATTTATAGGGCTCCAGTCTCCTGGACATCTCACTCACGGTGTCACCTTTTTTTCCCTGGCTATTTCCATGTGTGACACACTCTGCCTCTTTTACTGACTTGCCACACACTGTTTTCAGAATTGAAATAGCTTTAATTTTCAAAATATTGGCTCTGATTTGCTTGATTTGAGGCTGGCGCTTGGAATTATGGGTAAATTCCAATAATAAGTTGTAGGATATGTGTATGAAGAATTGATATATCCATAAAATGGGAACTTTTATCAGTGATATGCTGACTGGTGAGGTGGGCAGTGACAGACATCAGCTGTTGTCTAGCCACAGCTGCCACTGTAGCACTGTTGAGTTGTTATATCTGCTAGAAACACGAGCCCTCACATTATTTTATGGCTTTGTTATGTTTCTGATTTTGCCTCTCCTGTCATGGAATCCAAATGTCATCAACACTGCGCAAGGTGGCAGAGGAAACTGAGCTGCAGTACCAATTTCAACCACATGAAGGTGTCAATGGACTGGTGGCGCTCTTTCAAGATTTAGGCTCCTGGCAATAAAGACAGTCAAGCATCTCTGTGAAGAACAAGTGCCCTCTGTGAGTAAATCCACCGGAGCAGGACACATGTCGGGGGATGCAAGAAAAATAAATGAATAAACAAAAAAAATAAATGTCATTAGGTAAGATCCAATGGCTGTGAGTGTTGAAACAGACAAGAGGTCATTAAGTATTATGTGCACTTTCACATATTAAGGGCTATGTATCACAATGTATGAAGTTTGCTGGTTTCAGAATCTTTTTTTTTTTTTTTTCATTAACCCATTTTCAGGATTCGATCCAATACAATAGCCCAAATCTGATCAGATTACTTCTGAGCAACTGGGACCTGATTGCTTCCACTGAGATCTAGGATTAATCTTGTTTTCTACAACACAAAATGGGCAAAAAAAAGCAGCTGCTCATTTAGTTAACAGTGGATCCAGTTGTTAACTGCATGTATTTGCTTAGGATTTCTTTAAACATGCACTTAGAGTGTTTATTGACCTGTGTGTATTGGTAGCAAGATAGTAAATATGTTAGGTGGAGTCATGCCAGCAGGACAAAAAGAAAAACCAGTCTGACAAAGGTAAGGTTTGTGGTTGCCCCTGAATTTGAAATACAATTATGTTCATCAAACTTTTTAACTTCCATGTGGCTCATGTTGGCCAAACACCTTACCAAGACTCCAGCAGTATATGTTTTTCATTTCATCATGTATTATTCACCTGTATATATTGAGGCAATGGGTCAAAGTGCACCATCTGAGGTGGAGGGGGTCACATGATGCGGCTAAGCCAAGTAGACGCTTGTGCTGGAGCTCTCCAATATCTCGGTGTAAGACTTATTAAAAATACCCGCCAATTCTTCAACTTCATCTAGAAGTTACAATATGGACTTGAGACCTAGAAATAAGGTGCAAAAGTTGTCTACGGAGCAACTCTCAGCTGGTGAAGTGAGGAAACGTGAAGCAGACGACAAGTGCAGCATGGCCTTGACTGAAGTAAAAGTACAAAGACCATGCTGTAAAATACTCTGTTACATGTAAAGTCTTGCATTGAAAATGTTACTTTAGTGAAAATATCTAAGTATGATCAGGAAAATAAAGGATTACTACTGTGTGTAGTCTACACGGTGCAGACAAATGCCCCCTGTGACTGTTACACTATATCATGTATTATTCCATGACTTTATCATTAGCTACTAGTGCACTCAGGTAAAAGCAGGATGTCACACACAGACACACACACAGACACATACACACAGACACACACACACACACATGACAATGCAAAAAGGAAGGCCCAAATTTTAGTATTTGAATCAGTGTGCAAATATGAATGTAGTGGAACTATCAGCAAGCAGCTGTAAGTGTAGTTAAATGAGTTGTTTAATTGCAATTGGCAGTCCCCAACAGCAGCTATCTGAGCCTATGAGCAGTCAGGATAGGATGGGAGCTGTGGTGTTTTGTGGCTGAAAAGAAAGCTGTGAAATAAATGAGCAGGGTGCTGCAGAGAGGTTTGTGGTTTCCTGTCTGTCGTCCAGTTGAGCTGTAGCCTCCACTGTATGTGGAAGTGAGCTGGAGAAGCTGTGGGTGAGCGGGGATCGAACTCCCAATCGTTGGGTCTGAAGCAGATGCGCATGCGCAGTATAGCCTTGTGCCATGAGCATGCGCGTTAACCCCTCGGCCACGGCAGAAAAATGGCTCCACTTGTGTGAAAAAAGGGGGCAGAGTCCCAGCTCCCTATTAATCCACCCACTCACGGTTTTAATGGGGGCTGTTATGATGTCAAGGCAGGCTGCAAGGAAAAAAATAAAATAATGTCATTAAGATCCAATGGCTGTGACGGTGTGGAGTGTTGAAGCAGACAAGAGGGCATTAAGTATTATGTGCACTTTCACTTCTTAAGTCAAAGTGCTGATGGCAGAGTGTGGAAATACTCCACTACAAGTAGGCTAAAAGCCGCATGTATTATCAGCAGATTGTAGATACATGTATATATGTAGCATAAGTGTGTTTGCATGAAATGGTGAAAAAACTTGAGGTAGTTTTTCCTGCTGTGTGTGCCATGGTGTCCTCTGGCATATGTCATTTTTTTCTGTCTCTCAGCGCCCTCTGGCGTATGCCAGTTATTTCTCCTTCTGTCTCTGCTGCACTCCTGTTGTCTTACAGAATGCAAATTGTATCTATATAACATAAGTGTTGATGTTGTTACAGAAGGTAAATGAATCACATCAAATCAATGAGTTCTCAGGTTGAACCCAAATAAAGTGACTGATAACTGATCAATGTATCAATTGACATTGTTATGCAAAATTAATATTGCAGTTGTCAAGGAACTGTGCTGCTAAAAGGCTATCAACGTCTATATGGACACAAACTTAGCATTTATTTAAGAAAAAAATTGCAAGGATGGCTTGCAAACCTCAATAATGTAAAAATATGATAAAAATACAGGCAATTTTACTGCTTAATATTTGGTGTGTGTTTGCTCTGCTGGGGAAGCAGGAGAAAATGCATGATTCAGCTGGATTTTAGTAAAAACTTCAATTTCTATCCCCTAACTCTGGGATGCATGACTAATATCATCACATTCATCTTTATAAGTTGCCATGTATTTTGAGCCCATGTACACACACACACACACACACACACACACACACACACACTCACAAAGTAAGATTGCAATATTGCTATACAGACCACACTGTCACATCCTTATGGGCACAGCCAAGGGCGTCGTTTCAGCAAAAGCTAAGGTATGGCAATATGACATGACGTCACAGAGCTACTGATGATGGAGTTTCAAAAATATGAACTTATATAAAACTTCTCTTTGGTCTTTGACTTGTCAGAAGTACATACTATGCTACTGAAAACTCTTTCAAAGGACATGACGCTGTTTCTCACATTCATAATACCTCATGTCTGCATGTAATGCACGACTTGGTGAGAGCAGTGAAAACATCGGAGCTATTTCGGCGCATTCAGCACCACGGACAGCGAGCGGACGTTTAATTATCATTAGTCATGTGTTTAACTTCACAGAAAATAAAGAAAATAAATGAATTACAAGCTCATTTGTAGAAGATAACCAAGGGCTCCGGTGTATGAAACACAGTAAAACAAAGGCCAATTTGGTACAATACTGTATAGGCGAATTTATTGGAGTGTCTCCAGAGAGCGAAAATACAAGCTTAACATGCCGACATGAAGAAAAAAACCCCACATACAATCAGACAGGCTTCAAGACATCATTTAGACAGGCTGTCTACAGCAGCAGAGCAAAATGCTTTTACAACACACAACACACACCGTAGGCTGTGACAGCTCTGCACCTCTGTGTGCAAGAATAATAAATAAATGTCATTAGTTAAGATCCAATGGCTGTGACGGTGTGGAGTGTTGAAGCAGACAAGAGGGCATTAAGTATTATGTGCACTTTCACTTCTTAAGTCAAAGTGCTGATAGCAGAGTGTGGAAATACTCCACTACAAGTAGGCTAAAAGCCGTATGTAGCCTATTATCAGCAGATG